AAGTGTCTTTCATTTCTTGTGACAACTCTTAAGCTGATACTGTGTTAAGTGTCTTTCTTGTTAGAACTCTTAAGCTGATACTGTGTTAAGTGTCTTTCTTGTGAGAACTCCTAAGCTGATACTGTGTTAAGTGTCTTTCATTTCTTGTGAGAACTCTTAAGCTGATACTGTGTTAAGCGTCTTTCTCGTGAGAACTCTTAAGCTGATACAGTGTTAAGCATCTTTCTCGTGAGAACTCTTAAGCTGATACAGTGTTAATCATCTTTCTCGTGATACTGTGTTAAGTGTCTATCCCTGTGAAGTGTGTTATAGTTTACACCCATTTTCCTTGCCTTGAATACCATTCCTTCTACAAATCTACTGCATTCTGTGGATCTTATTGAATAAGGTGGATGTTGGGGAGAGACATTTGCATGCACTCATGAATGTTGACCTTTCTGGTTTTTTTGTGTTTTTATTACTGCATTTTGTTGGCCAAGATTTGACCTAAAACATACACACAAAGCATGAACTGACACTAACTTACTGTCATAGTCCAGCACCAGTTCATTAAACATGCGACCACTAGGTTCCTGGCCAATGTACTGGTGTACGATGTCGGAACCGAGCTCACTTAGAGCTATGCCATAGTTAAGAGGTTTTCCTGAAGACTGGATAGTAAATGGCTCCTCGGTATCTCCAACAGAATACCTGGTGATTTAAACACACGTATATAACTACTACCAGCAAAAAATCCTTTATTAAAAATTGATGTTTAACATGAGGAAATTATTTCTGAGGTGATTGATGAACTTATAAAGAATAAAACAATAAACTGTAGTTTGTTTTTATTCACATCAAACATTATTTTTAAATTTATTGCTTTTGTCTGTCCGCATTACAATCCCAACCAAATCCTTTAGTACAAGCATATTTTACACATTTTTTGTCTGATGTATTAAGGGATAATGCTTTTTTATTTGAAGAGTTCTCATACAGCACAATAAAGAGATATTAAGAACACATAAATCACTGTATTAGCTAGACTTATCTCTGTCCATCTGTTGTACAAAGAGAGACTCCCCAGTAGTCTGGGTCACATTTTGTTAAACGTGGACAACACTGTATCAACTAGACTTACCTCTGTCCATCTATTGTACAGAGAGAGACTCCCCAGTAGTCTGGGTCACATTTTGTTAAACGTGAACAACACTGTATCAACTAGACTTACCTCTGTCCATCTATTGTACAGAGAGAGACTCCCCAGTAGTCTGGGTCACATTTTGTTAAACGTGGACAACACTATATCAACTAGATTTACCTCTGTCCATCTATTGTACAAAGAGAGACTCCCCAGTAGTCTGGTTTGTACTTTGCTAACTGTGGAATGTAATCTGCAATCTGTAAGATTAAAAAAAAAACAAAATAACTTAATGATTAGATTATGCTTATTTATATATATATATACATAAAAACTTTCCACATTAAGTCTTTTCCAAGGTGATCATGTATATTTATACAAATGGAAATTATGTAGCTACTGAATTAGTCTAATGCAAATGTGCTGCCATCTATAGGTTATAACGTTTAAACGTTATTCTCAGTAACCGACTTTTTTTTGGGGGGGGGGGTTCATTATTAACCACACTAATGGTAACAATCTTGCTATAATTAATTCTTAACAGTAGAAATCGGTATAACAACTTTTGGTTTACAAATATGCAGAAATAATGGAACTTTTGTACCAAAATTCTCATGTATAACTGTGTCCAGACTTTTATAATATATTATTGTTAACCTTCAGTCTCATAATTCATTGGCAGCTGCACTAACATAAATAAAGTTTGGGGTGAAAATTCAACAACAGCTTTTATCAACTTATCTAAGGATACATAGTTCTCAACAAGCTTGCTAAAAGGAAATTATATTTATCGTGAGACAATAGTATTAGGCTTATCGTATTTTCAAACACCACTTTCTCCATTAGGGCTCTCGGGGTTTGTCCGAGAAGAAGAGTGTGGTGAAACTACTATTATACACTCTTTTTCTAGGAAAAAAACTAATCTACCATATAAAGAATGCTATGAAATACAGTAAGCCTAATAGTATTGACAAACGTAATTACAAATAATCACATTTCGCTAAATACATTCACTCTTGTTAAAAAGAAATTTGTCAAATGCGGTTAGTTTTCATTTTCCACAGAATTTCACATGAGGAGAACGTACCAGAAGTCTGAGTGATCTAAAGGGTCTACTTAATATTGTCTGAGTGATCTAAAGGGTCAATTTGATATTGTCTGAGTGATCTAAAGGTTTGATTTAATATTGTCTGAGTGATCTAAAGGGTCAATTTGATATTGTCTGAGTGATCTAAAGGGTCAATTTAATATTGTCTGAGTGATCTAAAGGGTCAATTTAATATTGTCTGAGTGATCCAGTATAGATAAACCATTACATTACCTT